TGCAGGTGTCTGTGTGACGCTGTGTGTTGTATGATGCAGGTGTCTGTGTGACGCTGTGTGTTGTATGTTGCAGGTGTCTGTGTGATGTGTGTGTTGTATGATGCAGGTGTCTGTGTGATGCTGTGTGTTATATGATGCAGGTGTCTGTGTGATGCTGTGTGTTGTATGATGCAGGTATCTGTGTAATGTGTGTGTTGTACGATGCAGGTGTCTGTGTGATGTGTGTATTGCATGTTGCAGGTGTCTGTGTGATGCTATGTGTTGTATGATGCAATGTGCCTGTCTCCTCGCTGAGATGCCAGCCCCAGCAGGGTGGCCTGGCAGGCTCTCTGTGGTATACTCCATCTTTGCAGGACTGGCAGGCAAGGAGGATGAGAGAATGCCACAAGCACTGATGGCAACGTAGCGCTTCTCTAGATGCTCAGACCCTTCTGAGTGTGCTCAAGGGACTGGACTGCAGGGCACAGGGGCCTAGGAACATGATTCAGAGGGCAGAGGAAAAGACTGTCAACAGGCCTGTGCCCAAAAGTCAGAGTGGGAACTCATGCTTTAAGTGGATCTCCCTGTTAAAAATGAAAATACTGGTCCAGGCGTGGTGGCTCACACCTGTAATCCCAGCACTTTGGGAGGCCGAGGTGGGTGGATCGCCTGTGGTCAGGAGTTCGAGACCAGCCTGGCCAACATGGTGAAACCCCATCTCTACTAAAAACACAAAAATTAGCCGAGCTTGGTGGCGGGAGCCTGTAATCCCAGCTACCGGGGAGGCTGAGGCACGAGGATGGCTTAAACCCAGGAGGCAGAAGCTGCAGTGAGCCGAGATCGTACCACTGTATTCCAACCTTGGCAACAAGACCGAAACTCTGTCTCACAAACAAAAAAACGCAAATACTACAGAACTAAACTTTTTCCTCCAAGAATGTATTCACAGGAAAGTTTCTACCTCACCTAAACCAACAAGTTCTGACGCCACACTGAAACTGTACAGGCAAGGGTGCTGCACATGCCTGGAGACTGCACACGTTCTTAGCACAAAAATTAAGCTGTGACAGGTGAGCCCTACAAGCACAATCTACACCAGTTCATTTTTACTGAATTCCATAAAGTCAAAGTAACTACTATGGCCATCATCAAGAATTAAATGTATAACCATACAACCCATAAGGATAGAAAGGATGACTGCCTTCCACACGGGATTTCTGAAAAGGACTCGCATAGATATAAGAGTATGAGGTTCATTTTATATTATTTCTTAACATAGGGTAATCTCAGCTTTGGTAACACCAAAAAGCTGGTTCCTCCTTACGATAACAGACTAGACATCACGATTATTTGGGAAGAGCGGATTTTGCAAAGGTCCTTTGGGGAGACCACCTCCCCCACCTTCTTGTGTCTAGAAAATAACAAAGAATGCAGGACCCTTGGCAAGAGTGGAAAGCCATCAAACCAACAGCCTTGCAGGGAAGCTTTTAGGAATTGTTTGAATCGAGCAAACACAAGCTTGAGATGAAGCGTAGGCCGTTTCCGGATCCTTGCCAGGCCCGGCCAAGGAGGGCACACTCACCTCCCAGGGTGGGAGGAGGGCACACTCACCTCCCAGGCTCTCACCTCTCAGGTGGGCCGAGGAGGGCACACTCACCCCCCAGGC